CTCTACTAAATACAGTGTTACAGTGATTGTGTGTGCACGTGTTCCAGCATGTGTGAGTGTGTAGAGGCCAAAGCAAAACCTCAAATGTTCCTCTACCAGTGTCTGCCTCTCAATGTCGGGGCTATAGGCTTGTGCAGCCATTCCTGTCTTTTTATGTGAGTGCTGGGGATTTGAACTCAGGTCTTCATGCTTGCAAAGCAAGCACTCTTACCCCCTAAGCCATTGCCACAAATCCAGGAGCTTAGTTTTAAAGACTGGGGCCCCTCTATGGCATCTAATGAGCTCGGGTTTGTCTTGCAGCAGCACTGACGCATTCCCTGAAGGGCTTTACATGGTGAAGTCGGTAGGCAGGGAACAGAATCCTTACTAACAAGGTCTACACGGTTTAATTCTTACTCTGTGTGAGTAGCAGTGGATGGTGTGGGAAAATCAGTCAGGATTGTGTTTCCATATCGTTCTGCACTTCTCTAATTAAATGCTTATCATATCATTGTACTTAATTATTTTATAGCACTATCTTCTTTTATAACTGGATACTCTTGTTAGGGGAGATGGTATGTTTGTTTTCATTCTAAGTGGCCTGATACCTAGATGATGTTCCCATTTGTTAGGTTCTTACATCAGTTCAGAAAAAGAAAGCGGATATTTGAATGATTTGCTTCTATTATATTTGTGTGTATATATATTTATATATTCACTAATCAGCTGATGTTTTAGTGTCTTAAGTAGGCAGATGACCCAGTCGCTCTCTCTCTCTCTCTGTGTGTGTGTGTGTGTAGGCCAAAAGTTTAAAATTTTATTTATTTATTTGAGACAGGGTCTCACTATGGTAGCCTTGGCAGGCCTGGAACTCAGTGTGTGGCTCAGGAAGTGGCCTCCTTGTCAGAGATCTACCTTCTTCTCCTCCTCCTCCTCCTCCTCCTCCTCCTCCTCCTCTTCTTCTTCTTCTTCTTCTTCTTCTTCTTCTTCTTTTGAGTCTGGGATTAAAGGTGAGGGCTGCTACACCTAGCTCATCTTTTGCTTTTTGAGATAAGAACTGGCCTGGAGTGTGCCAAGCAGGCTAGGCTGGACGGTAGGCTTCAGGAATTCTCCCCATCTCCACTGCCCAACATTTTACCCGCTGCTGAGGTACAGGTCCATGCCACCACTCCTGTTTGTTTGTTTGTTTGTTTGGCGTTTTTTGTTTTTGTTTTTTTTCAGAGGTGCATTGTGGATTGGATTACTCTGGTCCTCACGCTTGTATGGCGAGTACTTTACCTGCCGAACTGTTTCCGCAGCGCTGCCATTTGCCTTTTCAGTCTATATGTTTGGAGTAGACTGGGCATGTGTTAACTGGGGCTGTGTGCTTCAGAGTTTTGTTGTTGTTTTCTTGTTTGTTTTTTTTTAAGATTTATTTATTATGTATACAATGTTCTGCCTGCATGTACGCCTAGCATACCAGAAGAGAGCACCAGATCTCATGATAGATGGTTGTGAGCCACCATGTGGTTGCTGGGAATTGAACTCAGGACCTAGGGAAGAGCAGACAGCGCTCTTAACGTCTGAGCCATCTCTCCAGCCCTTGTTTTTGTTTTTTGAGACAGGGTTTTTCTTTGTTGCCTTGGCTGTTCTGGACTCACTCTGTAGACCAGGCTAGCCTGGAACTCACAGAGATCTCCCTTCTCTGCCTCCCGAGTGCTGGGATTACAGACGTGAACCACTGTGTCCCTGCCAGAGTTTTTAATTTTATTTTTAAAGATTTTAACTTATGTATGAATGCTCTATCTGCATGTACACCTGCATGCCAAAAGAGGGCACCATTTTCCAGAGTAGATGGTTGTGAACCACAAGGTGGTTGCTGGGAATTGAACTCAGGACTTTTGGAGGAGCAAACAGTGCTCTTATCCCTGAGCTATCTCTTCAGCTCCCAGAGTTTATTTTTAAATTTATTTACTATTTTGGTTTTTCAAGACAGGGTTTCTTTGTATAAGAGCCCTGGCTGTCCTGAAACTTGCTTTGTGGACCAGGCTAGCCTTGAACTCACAGAGATCTGCCTGCCTCAGCCTCCCTGAGTGCTGGGATTACAGGAGTAAATTTACACACACACACACACACACACACACACACACACACACACACACAAGAATGTAGGTACCTCACAGAGGCCTGGATGTCAGATGCCCCTAGAACTGCTGTGAGCAACCTAGTGTGGGTGCTGGGAACTGAACTCAGGTCCTCTGGAAGAGCATATGCATGTGACCACTGAGCCATCCCTCCAGCCTGTGCTTCAGAGTTTGAGAGCCCCACTTCATCTCAGGCTGGTTTAGAACTTACTATAAAGTCCAAGGCTGGTCTGAAGCTGTGGCTCCTTCCACCCTCAGCCTCTTGAGCATTGGAAGTACAGATGTGTGTCACCATAACTAGTTTGGCTCCATATTTTTTTTAACTTGTACCTGTGCAAAGCTAAGGAATACAAAACTGGACATCTGGAACTCACTATGGAGACCAGACTGGGCCTGAACTCACAGAGCTACTTGCTGCTATGAGCCGTAACTTGTTCCTTTTTGAAGACAATGTCTTGCTATGCATCCCAGGATGGACCAGAATTCACAATCCTCCTGCCTCGGGCTATGGAGTGCTGGGGTACAGTGTGGGCCACTGTACATGGCTCAGTACCTTTTATATTACTTGTAAAGAGCAGTGCCTAGGGGAGATTCATGCAGAGCCTTGCTCTTGCAGAGGACAGGAACTTGATTCCCAAGTTGATTCTGAATGGTAGCTCGCAACCATCCAGAACTCCAGTGCTGATGCCCTGTTCTGACTTCCCCTGGGACTGGGCAGCCAAGTGGTGTGCATGAGCCAGGCAAGACTCTCACACATACAAAACATATCAATCTAAAAATATCATTAAAAGCTGGGTGCAGGGGATCACTCCTGTAATCCCAGCACTCAGGGAGGCAGAGGCAGGCAGATCCCAGTGAGTTCGAGGCCAGCCTGGTCTACAAAGTGAGTCCAGAACAGCAAAGGCTACACAGGAAACCCTGTCTCAAAACCAACCAACCAGACAACCAAACAACCAACCAAACAACCAACCAAACAACCACCAATCAAGCAAACAAAATAACATTAAAAAAAGAACATGCCTAGCATGTTTAAGGTCAGGGGGCAGAGAGCTACAGTGCCCATTCAGTATGGTGTAGGCCTTAGACCCCCTAGTACTCAAGAGGCTGAGCCAGGAGGATCCAGACACTCAAGAGGCTGAGGCAGGAGGATCCAGACTTGGAGGCCAGCAGAGAGCTATATAGTCAGATCTTGATTCAATAGACAAAAATAAAACCGTGTAAACAGCCTAAAGGTCAGATGAAGATATATGGCTTGGCAGACACATACTGGACCACACCCAGTCAGATGACCTAGGAATGGAGGGACAAAGGTATGGAAACCAAAACTTTGTCCTGCCTGTAATGAGCAGCTAAGAGCACCAGCACACATTCGAGGTAGCCCTGCCTGTTCAAAGCCCCTTTGCTTGCCTTCAAAGGAAGCGAGATGAATACAGATTGTGACCAATATTTTCTTTATTATTCTTCAAAGCCACTTTAAAATATTTTAATATATATGTATTTACTTTACATCCTGCTCATAGCCTCCTTCCTCCTCTCCTCCTCATCCTTCCCTCCCACTCTCTTCACCCTATTCCACCCTTCCCTTGATCATTATTTTCAGTAGCGATTTAGTCTCAATCTCAGCTTCTACCAGGCGTATCCAACCTTTTGCTATTGTGACATGACTGTCTTCCGCAAAGTTCACCATTCAGATTTTAAAAACAATCGCCAAAGCAGATCTCATGTTTAAAGTGTCGGCTAGACATGCCCTTTCTAACCCCTCTCTCCTGACCAGCCAACCGTCAAGACTCTAACTCGAAAGCTACATCTTAATTCTAGAGATGATTCTGGCCCTGGAGAGGCTGATTTCGAGAACTGGTTACAAAGATAGATAGGTATTTAACAGAAAGATTCACCAACAGGCGTTAATCACAGCCACGTAGAGGGGTGCAGAAAGCGTGAGGCTGTTCACCCGCACCTCCTCTCTCCTGACCCTCTCCCACCAGGCTGGGTGGCCCCGCGGCCCTGGAATGACCTTTAAGAGCATAAGCTGGATCCGGAAGGGGACAAGGTTAAAGGGCGTGCTCCTGAGTGGCCAGAGAGGATAGATGTCCCTGCAGACCTGGAGCAAAAAGCGCTGGGTTCCCCTCGGGAACCGTCGGCCACCTCCGGAGAGTTTCGGCTCTTTCCGTCAGTTCCCGCTCGACTCTTCACTTCTAGCCCGGGCGCTTTATCCAGCCTCGAGGCTGTCCCGCGAGTACGCGCCCCACGCATCCCTCGGTTCCTTCGCGTTTGGGCCCTGACTCGCTCCTTCGACCCCTCAGTAGTCCCTCGTCTCCCGCAGCTCAGGCGCGCGAAGGGGAGGGCGCCTGGGGGGGGGGGCGCACCGCCGGCCGTCCATCCCCCCCGGCCCCCGGCGCGCGCGCCC